AGTTCAAAGATTATGAATATATAGCTTTATGATAATGAACTTATAGTTCAGTATTTATGAACATAGAACTGCAAGGTGGACATGGTTCCACAACCTATTAAAACCCAACATGTCAAATGTCTCTTATTTAAAAAAATCTTATCTTAATTGATTCTTAATTTTTTTTTATTAGGGGGTTTGGGAAAGATTAACCAAAAATGTATATGAGTTGTTTTAGTTTTTAGCAGTTTCGAGCAAATTGTTAAGTTATTAAATAATATTTTTGGTGTTTTGATAAAATATAAAATGTTAAACAGACGAATTTCTTAAAATTTTGACGAATTTTACAAATAATCAAATTACAACAACAACAACAACTACAACAACAACAATACTAATAATAATAATCCAAACAAAATTATATACAAAATAAAATTCAAATTAAAAACAAAAACAAAAACAAAAAAAACAAAAAAAAAAACAAAAAAAAAAAGACAAAGGGGAGTCACGGGCTCCCTTTGTAAATGATATTGAGATCATTTTTATCCCACATTGAAAATGTTTGAAAAGAGAGAGCTCATCTATATAAGAGGAGCAATGATCCCCTTACAAACATAATTTCTTGCCCATCAATGTGGGCAAGTATTGAGATGTCAAAAGGTTCTTATTTAAGAAGTCTCAACTTTATCTTCTTATTTTAGTTTTTATTTATTTATTTATTTATTACTTATTTATTTATTTATTTATTATTAATGGGGGTTGTGAAAGATTAACACAAAATTTATGTGTTGTATTAGTTTTTAGTCATTTGGAGCAAATTAATGAGTTACTATATAATTTTTTGGGGGTTTTGATTAAAGTTATAATGTTAAAATGACGAATTTGTTAAAATTTTGGCGAATTTATTAATAATCGAATTAAAAAAAAAATAAAAATAATAATATAATAATAGTAATCCAAATAAAACGATATACAAAATAAAACTAAAACTAAAATAAATAAGAAGAAAACAAAAGGGTGCCATGGACTCCCCTTTATAAATAATGTTGGATCATTTGATCCCACATTGGTAATGTTTAGAGAAGGAGCTCTTGAGCTCCTCTATATAAGAAGAGCAATGTTCCTTTTACAAGCATAATTGCTTGCCCATCAATGTGGGCAAGTATTGAGAAGTCCGAAGATTTTTTTCTTTTAGTACTATTGACCCGATAAATTATGCTGTGGAATTGTGTCCACCTTGCAAGGTAGACACGATTCCAAAATTATTCATATTTATGAATATATAGTTCAACAATTATGAACATATAGTTCTATAATTATGAACATAGTGTTGTGGGCATAATTATGAACATATAGTTATGTAATTATGAATATAGAGATTCAAAACTTATTTGTTAAGTAAATGTCAAATGAAAATTAAATAAAATCTATTAATTGGTAATATTATATATGATATTATATTTTATAATATAATATAATATAATTGATAATATTATTGTTCAAGTATAATAAAAATATTATTGTTCGAGTATAAAATAAAATTAAAATAATAACAATAACAACAACAACAACAATAATAATAATAATAATAATAATAATAATAATAATAATAATCCAAACAAAACTATATACAAAAAAAAAATTAAAATTTAAAAAAAAAAATAAGAAGAAGACAAATGTGGCTCCCCTTAGTAAATGATGCGAGATCATTTTGATCCCACATTGAAAATGTTTGGAAAGAGGAGCTCTTGATCTCGTCTATATAGCCATACAATTGCTTTCCCATCCATCTGGGCAAGTATTGTTAAGTCCAAAGGCTTTTTACAAATGAGAAGTTTAAAGGCTCTTAATTTTTTTTAGTACTATTGACCCGGCAAATTGTGTTGTGGAACTGTATCCATCTTGCAAGATAAACACGGTTGCAAAATTGTTCATAATTATGAATATATAGTTATACTATTATAATCATAGTGTTGTGAACATAATTTTGAACATATAGTTTAGTAATTATGAACATAGAGTTCTGTAATTGTAAATATAGAGTTCAATAATTATGAATATGAAGTTCAAAGATTATGAATATATAACTTTATAATAATGAACATATAGTTCAGTAATTATAACCATAGACTGTGTCCACCTTGCAAGGTGGACACAATTCCATAGCATAACTATTCGATTGACCCTGTTACATGTATACTTTCTCAACCTTTTGAAAATCTACGTGTCAAAATGCTTTTATTTAAGAAACCTTATCTTAATGGCTTCTTATTTTAGTTTTTTTTTTTTAAATTTTTTTTTTAATTTATTAGGGGGTTTAAGAAAGATTAACCCAAAACGTATATGAGTTGTTTTAGTTTTTAGCAGTTTGGATCAAATTGCTAAGTTATTAAATAATATTTTTGGTATTTTGATTAAATATAAAATGTTAAACAGATGGATTTCTTAAAATTTTGACGAATTTGTCAAATAATCAAATTAGAATAACAACAACAACAATAATAATAATATCAACAACAACAACAACAATAATAATAATAATATCAACAACAACAATAATAATAACAACAACAACAACAACAATAATAATAATAATAATAATAATCCAAAACAAAACTATATACAAAATAAAATTAAATTTTTTTTTTTAAAAAAAGAGTCACGGGCTCCCTTTGTAAATGATCTAGGATCATTTTGATCGCACATTAAAAATGTTTGAAAAGAGAGAGCAATGATCCTCTTACAAACATAATTGCTTGCCCATCAATGTGGACAAATATTGAGAGGTCAAAATGTTCTTATTTAAGAAGTTGTAACTTTGTCTTCTTATTTTAGTTTTTATTTATTTATTTATTATTATTATTATTTATTTATTATTTATTATTAGTGGTGGGTTATGAAAGATTAACCCAAAATGTATGTGTTGTATTAGTTTTTAGCAAGTTGGAGAAAATTACCAAGTTATTATATAATTTTTTTTGGTGTTTTGATAAAGTTAAAATGTTAAAATGACGAATTTGTTAAAATTTTGACGAATTGATCAATAATCAAATAATAATAATAATAATAATAATAATAATAATAATAATAATAATACAAACAAAAGAATATACAAAATAAAATTAAAAATAAAAATAATAAGAAGAAGACAAAAGGGAGTCACGGACTCCCTTTGTAAATGATGTTGGATCATTTTGATCCTATATTGAAAATGTTTGGAAAGAGGAGCTCTTGAACTCCTCTATATATTACTTCTCTTACAAACACAATTGTTTGATCATCCATGTGGGTAAGTATTGAGAAGTCCAAAGGCTATTATTATTATTATTATTATTATTTATTTTTTTTTTTTTAGTACTATTGACCTGAAAAATTATGCTGTGGAACCGTGTTCACCTTGCAAGGTAGACACGGTTCCAAAATTGTTCATAATTATGATTATATAGTTCAAAAATTATGAACATATGGTTCTATAATTATGAATATAGTGTTGTGAACATAATTATGAACTTATAGTTATGTAATTATGAATATATAGAGATTCAATAATTGTGAATGTGAAGTTCAAAAATTATGAATATATAATTTTATAATTATGAACATATAGTTCAATAATTATGAACATAGAGTTTTGTAATTGTGAATATAGAGTTCAATAATTATGATTACGAAGTTCAGAGATTATGAATATATAGTTTTATAATTATGAACATATAGTTCAGTAATTATGAAAATAGAATTGTGTCCACCTTGCAATGTGGACACGGTTTCACAACATAACTATTTATAAATAGTCAATGAAAATTAAAAATGAAACGGAAATATTAGGTAAAAATATCATTGCATCTATATTCTAATTGACTAATTGACTAAAAATAAAAAAGAAATATTGACTGAAAATGAATCTAATATTACTAATTGACTGAAATTATAAGAGGAAATGAATATTAATAATTGACTGCAAATAAAAAATGATCCATAATTGACTAAAAAAAAAAAAGAAATGGTCAGATCATTGCATTTTAATTAAAAATGGAATGGAAATTAAAAATTGGATGGAAATATTTCAATAATAATATTCTACATTATCAATAGTAAATGCATATTTTAAAAAATAGTAAAAGTAAATTAAAAATAGAACGGAAATATTTCAATAATAATATCTACATCATCAATTAAAAATGGAACGAAAATTATGTAAAAATATCACTGCATTTGATATTCTAATTGACTAATTGACTGAAAATATAAAATGATAACTAATTGAGATTCTACCATTATATATTTTCACCCAAGTAACCTGTCCTGTTGGATTGAAGGTGTTAGCTCTAGATGAAGATGAACAAGATTGTGTTGCCACTACCAATGTCGTCTAAAAAGAGGTTTCAATAATGTGTAAATATAATTGGTGATATTAAGTTTTTTTTTTTAAATGAAAAAATTGTTATATATCTAGACAAAAAAAATATCTTCCATACAAATGAATAAGGATAGCCATTCATTTCGAGCTGTTAGAGTACGAGCACATTTGCCTAATTTATGAAAATACTAAACAATGATAAATAAAATCTTTAAAGTTATAGCACCGCATGCGTACATCTAGACATTAGCTATTAATTTGAGCAATTATTTGCACAAATTCAAGAAATGATATCATCAAAATATATAAACGATCTAAACCATATCTTTAATTACACTATATAATATTTGATGTTTTAATTTAAATAATTATATATAAATTCATATATTATTAACAAATTCATTCCGTGCATCGCACGGGTGCAAATACTAGTTAAATCTAAAATCATTTGAAACCCTAATAAATCTTGTGGGCATCAAAGCTATTGTGGAGTTTTTGGGAATTTTGGACCACAATCAATTCATCCGAGAAGAAATTCCAGTCTAGCTTCATCCCTATTCCACGTGTATGATCCAAATAGAGAATTTAAGGTGGCGAAAAATACGAAATACAAAAATAATTTAAAATAATAAATTCTCACACTGCTCCTCTGACCTGAAACTCCCAAGTCTCCAACTTGAGTAGAGTCCTCGATTGCTCCGCAGTCCACCCCACAAAGACCCCAAAACTAACGCGTCCTCTTGCTTCTTTTCACCTCTTTAAGTTCTTGTAATGGGATTTTATTGAAACAAAACAAAAATTCTGTTTTCTCCTCCATTTTAAGAGCAGAATTTAAAGGTTTGTTCTTTTTCTTTGTTTTAATTCATTCGTACTCTCTCACCCTTTTAGCATTTTCATGATTTGGGGTTATCTTTCCCGTCTTGTCTTGTTTTGTGGCTCAAAACCGGGTTAATTATTGACTGTTATATGTAAAGTTTTGATCTTTGTCGATTTCTGTACCTAAAAAGAATTGATTTTGGAAAAAAAAAAAGAGGGAAAGAATGGTTTGTTCTTCTCTGAGTTTTTCTTTCTCTAATGAGCTCATATTTAGTATTGCCTTGTTTACAACGGAAATTATTGTTATGTATAAACTTCTGCAATAATGTCATTGTATATGCTCTCAAGAACTGGATGATTGTATGTAAACTTCTGACAGTGATTAAGTTATAGACTGGGAAGTACTGTAATTTTTGTCTACTGTCAATTCAATGATTGATCAAATTTAGTGCCTTTGCATATTAATGGTTCTTTACTTTCTCTCTAAATGAAAATAAAGTTTGTATTATGTTAGTTCCTTCTAAAAGATTGCATATTGATGTTCTGTCTTGTTTAGTGACTTTAGAATTATATTGTGTTTGAGCATATATGATTCTAATGATCATTCTACACTTTCTGAGATTCTGAGATAGTTATTTGCCTGCATTTTCTAGGGCCAACTAGATGGGAGCCTATATAGTTGGTGTCCTTGTTCCACTCGTAGTTACACTTTTGCTTCGAAACTCAAAGAATAGGAAAAAACGCGGTGTCCTTGTTGATGTGGGTGGGGAGCCTGGCTATGCTATTCGAAACTATCGGTATGCCACCCCTGTGGAAACAGCGTGGGAAGGTGTTACAACTCTCGCCGAGCTTTTTGAATATTCTTGCAAAAAGTATTGTGACAAGAAGTTACTCGGGACTCGGAGGCTTATTTCGAGAGAGATGGAGGCATCTTTGGATGGAAGGTCATTTGAGAAGCTTCACTTGGGTGATTATGAGTGGTTGAGTTATAGGGAAGCTTTTGAGCTCGTGTGCAACTTTTCGTCTGGATTAGTACATCTCGGGCATAAAAGAGAAGAGCGTGTAGCCATTTTTGCGGACACGTGTGGAGAATGGTTCGTTGCACTTCAGGTACATAATTTCCCGCGGGGAACGAGATATCCTTCCCTTCATTGCCAACCAAACTCATTTGACAACCTTTTATTCACGTGCACTACTTGTCATCTTATGTTGTTGTTTTTTATTTTATTTTATGAACAGATACTACATTGTAACAGAGTCAGTAGTCTCGAAAACAAAAATGTTGTTATTTTTTGATAGAATAGCTTGCGATTCACTGACAATGATATGATTTCTATGCATCAGGCTTGCTTTAGGCGCAATGTGACTGTGGTAACTATTTATGCATCTTTGGGGGAAGAAGCTCTCTGCTACTCTTTAAATGAGGTCTCTCTCTCTCGAGTTTTATGTGCTTTCAAAAGTATCATATGTTTCCATTTTTAGTCTGTTTGTGTTCTAGTGAATATTTCATTGTACAGCTCTTATTATATTTTTACAGACAGAAGTTACGACTGTGATTTGTGGGCAAAAAGAACTGAAGAAGCTCGTTGACATTAGTGGACAACTCGACACAGTAAAACGCGTAGTAGTCATGGAAAATGAAATTCAATCGAATGGATCAACTGCTATTGGGAACTCAAGCTGGACGATATCGTCCTTTTCTGATGTTGAGAAGCTTGGACGAGAAAATCCAGTTGAACCGGATTTACCTCTTGCTGCTGACGTTGCTGTGATAATGTATACAAGTGGAAGTACCGGTTTGCCTAAGGTTAGAAAGACTTTTGCTTGGCGGAGACGCTTTTACCCCTCCCATTTAAAATGGTGATGGGTGCTTTTGCACTTGCGGGTGGAGTTGTTAAACAAAGTTTTCGTTTTATAGGGAGTCTATTTTCATTTTATCACCGGCTAATACCACTTTGCTCGATACAGGGTGTGGTAATGACACACAGGAATGTTCTAGCAACAGCTTCTGCTGTTATTACAATTGTTCCGGATCTTGGAAGCAAGGATGTCTACTTAGCGTACCTTCCTCTCGCTCATATTTTAGAATTAGCCGCAGAGGTAATATGCAACCGACTATTTTTTTTTTTTTCGTCAAACCACGAGGTGTCCTGAGCAGGCCCTAACTGTAGGAGGCACCTTTAAGATCGTACCATACTCAGAATAATCCCCAATCCTGTTAGCACCGGGCTGACCCAATTAAGGGGCAAAGTGCTGGCCAGATTGGTTTTTTCATACGAGGGGGGTTCGAACTCCTGACCTCTCTTAAGGGATTTATCATAGACTAATTTGATTGCATGTTTTGCTCTTCCCGTGATCTATGGTCGGTTGGCCAAGTATTTGAACTAATTCCGACTGTACTGCAGAATTTTATACCCACAATTGGAGGTTCTATAGGATATGGTTCTCCTTTAACGCTTACTGATACTTCAAATAAGATAAAGAAGGGAACAAAAGGAGACGCTTCTTTGTTAAGGCCAACATTATTGGCTGCCGTCCCAGCCATTCTTGATCGTGTTCGAGATGGTGTGCGAAAGAAGGTATGTGAAATTTTCAAGGATACACATACAATATTTATATGACAATCATAACATTTTTAAGTGTAACAATACTGTAAAAACTTCAGGTAAATGCCAAGGGTGGCCTAGCAAAGAAATTGTTCGATTTGGCATATGCTCGTAGGCTGTCTGCAATCAAGGGCAGTTGGTTCGGAGCATGGGGTTTGGAGAGGCTCTTTTGGAACTTTCTCGTGTTCAGAAATGTCCGGGCAGTTTTAGGTGGACGTATTCGCTTTATATTATCGGGAGGGGCTCCTCTCTCGGGTGATACTCAACGATTCATCAATATATGTCTTGGGTTAGTGCTATTGCTGTTAAATTATTCTCTGTTATTTGCCTTATCTACTCAATTCTCGGCTACAAATAGATGCAACTATATTATCTTTTGATTCTTGCAATTTCGTTTCGATCTTCAGTGCCCCCATTGCTCAGGGTTACGGGCTCACCGAGACCTGTGCCGGTGGAAGTTTTAGTGAACATGATGATACATCAGTTGGCCGTGCTGGTGCTCCATTGCCGTGCTCGTATATTAAGGTAACACGGGAAGTTTTTTTTTTTTTTTTTTTTTTTTTTTTTTTTTTTTAACGTTCGTTTTGTAGTGGTTTCTTGTTTTTTCACATTCATCTAATATATTTGATTGTTTACAAACTAATTCATTCTTGTTTTGAATTTTAGTTGATCGATTGGCCTGAGGGTGGATATCGAATAACCGATTCACCGATGCCTCGGGGAGAGATTGTTATAGGGGGGCCAAATGTCACTATTGGGTATTTCAAAAACGAGGAGAAAACTAAGGAAGTCTACAAGGTAGTGTTTGCGGTCTTTTACAGAATTTGTCTTTTAACGCTAACTTTAAGACTGCTGGGAATGACGGGCTATGCTATTACTTTACTGGTTTAAGGTTGACGAGAGAGGCATGAGGTGGTTTTACACGGGTGACATAGGGCAGTTTCATGGCGATGGTTGCATTGAGATAATTGACCGTAAAAAGGATATCGTGAAACTTCAGCATGGAGAATATGTTTCTCTAGGCAAGGTGCAGTAATTTTACCTTATTTGAATCTGTAATATTGTTCGTGATGCCTTTGCCTCGGTTTTTTTTTTTTTTTTTTTTTTTTTTTTTTGGGTTCTGATGTTTTTCTACGTAGGTCGAGGCTGCGCTAGTTATTAGCCCCTATGTCGACAATATAATGGTGCATGCGGATCCCTTTCATAGTTACTGCGTTGCTCTAGTGGCAGCGGCACAGGCCGCGTTGGAGGACTGGGCCGCAGAACACGCAATCGAGTTTGTGGATTTTTCGGACTTGTGCGTTAAGGAAGAAACTATCAAGGAGGTGTATGCTTCACTCGTAAAGGTATTGTTGTTTTTGTGTGTGTATCTCGTGTTTTTTCAAGTAATGATTAAAGTTTTCTTTTGTGAAACTCGTACGTATTTGCATATGCAATCGCCCTTAGGACATTCCCGCATTATGTTATCTTCTTTTGTGAACTAAAACGTCATATCTTTCAATTAATATTGTCTTGATTCTTGAACTCTTGATAAGATAGAGTTCTACTACCTGGACTCCTTGATGTGGCGAGCACTGATAGGTTACTTTTTTTCATGTGGGTCCCAATACAAGTGTCTATATCAAGATTTTGTGTGTGGGAGTAAAAAATGGGGAGTACATGTAGTATTTCCTGATAAGATATATCTCTTTTGGTTACCAAACTCAATACCCCTTGGCAAATTATACTGTGGACAACCGATAAACGTTCATTCTTAGTATATTGAAGCCTGAAGGTTCATTTTTAGGCCGTATAAGTACACTAAAAATGAACCTTCAAATAATGAACATTCAGTATACTAAAAATGATCTTTCAATATACTAAAAATGAACATGTATACCGTACTAGAAGTTAACTTGTTCGTTTATTTCTTCCATCTTTTCATAGGCGGCGAAGGCTGCACGCCTGGAGAAGTTCGAGATACCTGCGAAGATAAAACTGCTCGCGGAACCGTGGACCCCGGAATCCGGGCTGGTTACTGCTGCTCTCAAGCTCAAGAGAGAAGTCATCAGGAAGACTTTCTCTGAGGATCTTGCCAAGCTATACTCATCATCCTGATTTTGAAGGCAACTTTTTTTTTTTTTTTTTTTTGGAGAAAAAGAGTGTATGGTTTAACTTCTCAGAGGTTTAAATAAGGCTTTGTACAACTAACACTAGAGCTGTTTGTGTATTTTACTATCCATGTCAATGTTTACTTCTTGGAGATGAAACCAAATCTTCTTTTTGTTAGTTAATTCTTAACATGTTTTATAGTTTTAAAAGGGAAAATCATATTTTTTGGTCCCTCAATTGTTACCGGTTATGCAATTCAGAATTTCATTAATATATATATATATATATATATATATATATATATATATATATATATATATATACTAGTATTTTCACCCGTGCGATGCACGGAATTGAATTGTTGTAATATATTAAGAATATTTAAATCGATATATAATTATTTAAGAGTTAATTTCACCGGAGGTCGTTTATCTTTCCTGACAATTCCAAATTTAATCCTAGACTATAGTTATTAATTATTACAATTTATTCTATGTTACAACTCTTACGTTAATATTCTTACTATTATTATTAACACTTAATTACTTTTAGATATTATTATTACCACTTATATTATTATTATTATTATTATTATTATTATTATTATTATATTATATTATTATTATTATTATTATTATTATTATTATTATATTATTATTATTATTATTATTATTATTATTAGTAGTTTCTTTTCAAGTACTGTTAGTATATAATGGTCGTGAGGCACAATAATAATATAACCATAATTAAATATTCTTGTATTGTATTCCGGAGTTAATGCCATTTTTGGTCCTAGACTTATTGAGGCATTGACACTTTTCATCCTCTATAATAAAAATTACCACTTAGTAGACACTGTTATTGGTCGTTGGACAGTTTTGATCCTCCGTCAATGAAGCCGTTTGTTGACCGTGAATTAGAAGGGCTCTTCTGTCTTTTTATGTCTTATTCTTCTAATCTTGTTTAGACTAGCGCTGTTGTGACTCCTGTGAGGCGAGATGGCGAGACTTGGCGGCTAAGTAGTAACCGTCGGTAGTGAGTAGCAGCGAGGTTCTTCTCCGGCGAGTTGTGGGTACGACGGCGAGCATACGAGGCAGTAACTCCTTCCGGCGACGGACCAGTAAGGCAGATCCGGCGGTGCAGCAACAGATCCGGCGAGGTTGGGGCCTTCACCGGTGGTTTTTGGTTCCGGTGAAGCATAGAGGGCAGCAGGTCGGCGAACCCTCCTATGGTAAATAGCAGTTGTAGTTGTAGATGGCGTGATGTAGAATTTGCACCTGTAAGTCCTCCCTTTCATATTGACCACAAATATCCTTCCCATCTCTCTCTCTCTCTCTGACCACAACTACTTGGTGCACAACCTCAAAAACTCTGTTATTCTACCTGAAATTCATTAAAGTTTCAAGCTGAAAATGTGGAATCCGCCACTTCCCAAAAATCGCATTGTCTGAGGTGTTGGAATGGCCGGTGTTGACTTCCTGGCTACTGTAGCTTCATTCCCCAACCCGGATGATAAAATTCGGAGCACCAGCTTTGAGGTTCAAGGAGGTGGTAACACTGGCAATGCTTTGATAAAACCTGGATGATAAAATTCGTCTTGGTTTTAATCCAAGGATCATATCTAAGGTTGCTGATGACTCGCATGCCGAAAGAATACTTGATGAGCTTGAAAGGGATGGTGTTGATACATCTTTTATGGTGGTGTCCAAAGGAGGAAACTCACCATTCACATATGTCATTGTTGACAACCAAAAAAAAAAACTCGCACGTGCATTTTCACTCCAGGATATCCACCCATGATATCTTAGGGTCTACATACCCAAATCAAAATTGTCTTCAGCGCTTGGAGTAAATATTGTCTACTTAGATGGAAGGCTGCATGAGACTGCTTTGATTGTAGTGCAGGAGGCAAAGAGTAGGGGCATACCTATTATAGTTGATGCAGAAAGGTTAAGGGAGGGGTTGGGTGATATTCCTGACTTTGCTAGTTATGTTGTATGCTCGACAAAATTTTCACAGGCATGGACTAACGCCCTTTCTATTCCAACTGCACTTGTTTTCATTATCTTGATATTGATATCAAATGTAAAATTCGTGATTGTTAGTCGGGTGAAGATGGTTTCTTAATGTTAGAAAGGACTGAAGCGGATAACCCCAGTTTGAAGAAATTGATGTAGCAGTGACCAATGGATGGAGAAATACAAGGATTAAAACATAAAAAGACAGAAAAACCCTTCTAATTCACGGTCAACAAACGGCGTCATTGACGGAAGATCAAAACTGTCCAACGATCAATAACAGTGGCTACTAAGTGGCAATTTTTATTATGGAGGATGAAAAGTGTAAATGCCCCAATAAGTCTAGGACAAAAAATGGCATTAACTCTTGTATTCCGTGAGTCACAATAATAATATAACAATAATTAATGTTCCTCAGCGGCAGTGTGGGAGCAACCTCTCAAAGTGAGGGGGGTTCCTTGTGCGCAGTGAGCACCGGTCTAGCCTCTATGATTAATGTTCAGTTGAGTCACCATGATTTACATCCTCCCACCGCTCTGTCGGGCCGGGGTGTGAGGGGCCCTTGGGGTTGGGGTTCAACCTTTTGGAAGAATATAACAATAATTAAATATTGTTCAATTCTATATTCTTCTAGGATTTCTATTACCATCATTAATTATTCCCAAATTTATCATAATTAAATAATTTGATCAATTATAAAGAAAGATTATTAAATAATGCACGGGACAATTGTTTAATTAAAAATTTTAAAAATTCATTAATAAAACATAAGGTTCTCATAGTTTTTTCTTAGAAACTCTTTAATAAAGTATTTTTTTTTTAGAAATTAGTGGGCCAAACCACCTACGGCAGTTTGCGGTGGATAGATCTCGAAAAAATACGCGATTTCAAAAAAACATTTGTCCAAAACGGACAATGGAGTCAAAAGTTATGCCTTGCCCGAACTTTTGACACTTTACAACTTAAAAAAATAAAAAAATTAAAGGCCGGTTCAGCCGGCGAGGCGGCCGCTGAGGAGGCCGATTCCGGCCTTCCTCGCCGCGGCCAGCGACACGATTTTTGCAACACTGATATATAAAATAGATATAGATTAGAATAGGAATAGTATTACACAATTTTATAATATTACAATAAAAATTTAACCCAGAATTATGGTAGAAATCAATATATTTTATTAGGAAGAGAGATTTTTTAGGAATTGGGCGGGAAGTTAAAATTTAATGATTTTGTTTTTATATATAGTATAGATTGTATTACACTATTTTATAATATTAGAATAGAATTTTAACGCAGAATTATTGTATGAATGGGAAAGTAGAAATCAATATATTTTATTAGGAAGAGAAATTTTTTAAGAATTGGGCGGGAAGTTAAGATTTCAGGATTTTGTTTTTATATATATAGTATAGATTGCATTACACTATTTTATAATATTAGAATTGAATTTTAACGCAGAATTATTGTACGAATGGAAAATTAGAAATCAATATATTTTATTAGGAAGAGAGATTTTTTAGGAATTGGGCGGGAAGTTAAAATTTAAGGATTTTGTTTTTATATATATAATATAGATAGATTGTATTACACTATTTTATAATATTAGAATAGAATTTTAACGCAGAATTATTGTACGAATGAGAAAGTAGAAATCAATATATTTTATTAGGAAGAGAGATTTTTTAGGAATTGGGCAGAAAGTTAAAGTTTAAGGATTTTGTTTTTATATATAGTATAGATTATTACCACTTATATTATTATAATTAGTTTCTTTTCAAGTTCTGTTAGTATATAATGGCCGTGAGGCACAATAATAATATAACAATAATTAAATATTCTTGTATTGTATTCCGTGAGTCACAATAATAATGTAACAATAATTAAATATTCTTCAATTCTATATTCTTCTAGGATTTCTATTACCATCATTAATTATTTCCTAATTTCCCATGATTAAATAATTTAACCAATTATAAAGAGAGATTATTAAATAATACACAGGACATTTTTTAATTAAAAAATTTAAAAATTCATTAATAAAACATTAAGATTCTGATAGTTTTTTCTTAGAAAGTATTTAATAAATCATTTTTTTAAAGAAATTAGTGGGCCAAAACCGCCAACTGCAGTTTGAAGTGGATAGATCTCAAAAAAATACGTGATTTCAAAAACACATTTGTCCAAAACGGTCAACCGAGTCAAAAGTTATACCTTGCCGAACTTTTGACACTTTACAACCTATAAAAAAAAATTAAAAAAAAAAAATTAATTGCTGGTTCAGCCAGCGAAGTAGCCGCGGAGGAGGCCGATTCCGGACTTTCTAGCCGCGGCCAGCGGCGCGATAAAAAAATTATTATTTATTATTAGGGGGGTTTGAAAAATACTAACCCAAAATGTATATGTGTTGTTTTTGTTTTTAACCCAGAATTTTTGTACGAATAGGAAAGTAGAAATCAATATATTTTATTAGGAAGAGAGATTTTTTAGGAATTGGCGGGAAGTTTTTTGAATGTTACTGGCCCTATTACATTGTAGTATCTGTTCATATACTTTCTGGCGGGAAGTTAAAATTGCTGGATTTCGTTTTTATATATAGTATAAATGTATAGATAGATAGATTACAATAGGAATTATATTAAAGTATTTTATAATATTAGAATAGAATTTTAACCCAGAATTTTTGTACGAATAAGAAAGTAGAAATAAATATATTTTAATAGGAAGAGAGATTTTTTAGGAATTGGGCGGGAAGTTAAAATTGCAGGATTTTGTTTATATATATATATATATATATATATATATAGAATTACATTCAGGTAAAAACACATCTTAAAATACAAACATGTGGACAATTTGACGCCGTTGGATGGTGGTATTGGACGGTCCTGATTTTTTCCTCCTACGCGCTGTGTGCATGTAAGTATGTTAATGTGTGCATGAGCTTTGATGGATGGTTGTGATTTTTCCTCCTACGCGCTGTGTGCATGTAAGTATGTTAATGTGTGCACGTGCTAATCCCAGAAATTGTTGGCAGTACGCCATGTGTGCATGTAAGTATGTCAATGTGTGCACGAGCTCAAGTTTGTATTTTAAGGGGAGTTTGTATTTTAAAGGGGTTTGTATTTGAATGCAACCCTATATATATATATATATATATATATATATATATATATATATATATATAAAACTAGTCT